GGTTGAGTATCAGAGTGTTCCATCTCGTTTCCCTTTGGGATTGCTGTAGGTGATCCAGAAGTCTGTTTTTGAGGCTTGTTTATGTGTCTTCTCATTTCCACGGGGTGGGGGGGGTGAGCTTCTGGCACCCACGTGGCTTACCCTCTCTGCCCTAGGAGCCTGGGATGGAGGCGGGGAGCTTCCTTCCAGGTGCTGGGACCGGCTGGGCTTCACTGTCCTAGGAGCCTGGGATGGCGGTGGGGAAGCTTCCTTCCAGGTGCTCCATTATATATAATTCTTTATCTGGAGTTTTAGCTTTGTTTATCACCAAGTGAGGTAAGAATCCATCTAATTCTTCAAATAGATAACTAATCTACCCAGCAGGGGTAACTACATAATCCCTTCTTTCTTCATTAATTGAGATGACATCTTAAGCAGAGTTTGAATTTTTATGTATGCTAGATGATCACCAGCTCATCTATTCTGTTCCTTGGATTCATATGTGTTGTTATTTCTGTAACATCATAGTAGGAGGTTAGGCAAGCTCTTCCCACAACACATTCTTCCTTTGTTTTCAGAACTATCTTGGCTATTTTCAACCATACCTATTTTTAAATGAACATTTAAAATAATTCTACCAAAGGAAAAAGCTCTATCAATTATAAACAAAGAAATGCAAGCTCTGATTAATATTAGATTAAATCTCTAAATCAGAAAATTCAAATGTTGTATCCTGACATAGGTGGTGATCCCATGAATCTCTACATGTTAAAATTCATAAAGTTAGACACTAGAAGAAAAAAAGTCAATTTTACAGTATAATGTAAAAATAGATAAAATAACTTCCATACATTATAATATTCATATTTGGAATAGTTATTTTTAGTATGATTGTATGTAAAATAATAGTTATGTGAATGACAAAGCTTTTAAAATTTAACTAGATTTTGTATTTTTCCTTGAGCATTACTTATAAATCATTCACCTTCTACAAATATCTTAAAAACTAATTCAAATCAGAAAAAAAATCAACTTTATTTCCAACTATCATTGCATTTTACTGAATAGATATATAATGATAAATGATAGCTTGCTTGAAATTCAACACCAAAAACTATTTATCTTTCCACTGGTAGAAGCAATTAGGTATGACAAACTGGCACCACAAGCTTAGCTTTGCCAAAGCACTTCTATGTAGAAGGGTTCTAACTCTTGTCATCTTCAGTGCAAAACAAATATACTCTTATTTGTGATTGAAAAATTATGAGATTTTATATTATTTTATAAAGAAATTTTATTTCAAGTTGCCTGCCTAACATAGGAAGAAACTGAAAGTTGCTACAGGGTATGGATTTTGCTGTCTCTGTGCCCTGTGTTGCTTCTGGAATCATAACTTCCCTCTCAGCTCATCCTCAAAAATCACTTATGTGCACAGGAAAGCCATTAATTAAATGATTACAAGGGAAAACTGTCTTAAACATAATTCAGTACAATTCTGACCTTTTCAGAACCTACTAATCTTATGAGTTGTCATCAGATCCCTTTCCCCACCTAGTCAGTACAACAACATTGAGTTTAACAGGTGTATAACTTAAAGACAAATTCTTATTGCAGTAAATTAGAAATCAGGTCAGGAAGAATGTCAAAGATTAATCTTCACAGATTAATATAGCTGGAACCATCAATAATCCTTTACCAAATGATTTAATGTCCACAATGCAATCCTCTTAAACTCATTGGCTTCTAGATGTTTTTACCATCTGCAGCCTTTTACCATAGAAACAGAGACAATGCTCTTGAGCTTCTGGCAACAACAGCCTTTGAAAGTGGCTGTTCTATATTTAACTAGTTTGACCTATATGCAAGCGTTCATTCCATCAGCCTGGACGCTCAAAATCACAGAGGGAATGCTTTTCCTCATTATGCAATACACATATTTATGTTCCATGGAATTAGCTGGGTAATCCAAGGTATAACTCAAGAGGCTGGCTATGATTAAAGTCTATGTAGAAATTTTTGCCAACTCAGTCTTATCATTTTTTTTTTTTTTTTTTGGTACTGGGACTGAATTTAGGACCTTGCGAGGCAGGCGCAGGTACCACTGAGCTACAACCCCAGCTCCTATTAGTGTCATATTTAAACTGTCCACAAGTTTAAAATAAGCACAAAAGTTACTTATATAGCCACATGGAAACTATCACAACTGAGATTTTATAAAATGCTTTATTATATGGCATCTTACCTCTCCTGTGCCTTGTATAATCATCAGGGTTTATTAGATTCAATTTATTTTTTAAATTTTTATTTTTATTACTACTTTTTTTTTTTTGGTACCAGGGATCGATTTATTAGTACATGTTTGCAGTGCATAATGATTACATTCATTGTGGAGAGTCCATAACACAGATTTTTTTCATCCCTCCCCCACTTCAATCTCTTGGCCCCTTTCCCTTTTGCACATCAATTTCAGTTTTTTAAATTCTTTCACGAGCAGTTCAAACTATTTATAAAGACTGATATTTCATGACATTTTTTAATTTGTTTGTTTTTTGGTACTGGGGATCAAACTCAAGACCTTGCACTGGCGAGACAGGTGCAGTGCCACTGAGCTAAATCCCCAAAATCTTAAGATTTTGTTGTTTTTTATTTTGTCCCAGGGGATCGAACTCAGGACCTTGTACTTGCCAGGTAGGTGCAGTGCCAGTGAGCTAAATCCCCGGCCCCATCACGACATTTTTGATAAGTCTTCCACAGAACAAAAAGGAAAATGTATTTCTAAATATAGAATAATGTATTTTTAAGAATAGAATAAAAGGGCCAGGGATTTAGCTCAGTAGTTTTGCTGCCTGCTGCGCAAGCGCAAGGACCTGAGTTCAATCCCTGGTACCAAAAAAAAAAAAAAAGACAAAAAAGAATAGAATAAAATTCATTCTCTTGCAATAACCCTGATTGTTTTAGAAATCTAAGATACATTACACTATTTCATCATCTTGGAAATACTTTCTCACCAAGAATTCTCAACTGTGCTAAAAAAGATTAAAATAATAAGAAAATGGAAGAATGATGAAATTATTTCGAAGAATAATGCAACAGTGAAATAAATATCACTATAAAATCATTCTTGGCCAGATTATGGCAAAGAAAATCAACAGAGGAGGAAATACTGTTCCTTAGTAGGAAATGGAATATCATACAATTATTAAAACAAACAAATATTTACCTAGACCAACATAAACAGGACTCAGAAATATATGTCTCAAATTCTAAGTCTTATTTTCTCTCAATCCCTTAAAAATGGCATTCACTGGATGACTTCTGTTTCGTTTTTGCTTTTTTTCAGGTACTGGGGATTAAACCCAGGGCCTTGAGCATGCTGGGTAAGTGCTCTGTCACTGAAGAATGTCCCCTGCCTTTTTAAGAATTTTTTTTAGACAGAGTCTCCATAAGTTGTCTAGGCTGCCCTTGAATTTGTGATCCTCCTGCCTTAGCCTCTCAAATACCTGGGATTACAGGTGTGTACCACCACAATCTACTGTAATGATTTCTTGTTTCCATTATTTCTAAAATGCAGCTGCTAGCCTTAAACTGACTGGATGGGTGGAGCCTGCCCAAAGTTAGGGAGGACACTCTCCTTTACTCAGCCTACCAATTCAAAAGTTTATTTCATCTAGAAATAATCTCAGACACACCCAGAGTACTATTTCACCAAAATTCTGGGCACTGTGGCCCAGTCAAGTTGACACAAAATTAACCATCACATTCTGGCCTGGTTTTTAAATATATATTTTTTTCTAAGGCCCAAACAAGTTTGCCTTTGAGCTTTGACAACTCAATCCTGCCAATTTATACTTAAGCCAACTCATGTAAGTAAACTAACTTTCTGCTCATGGGCCTTACATGCATATAATTCTATGTCTATTCATGGATTTAATTTATACCTTCGTAAGAGATAAGAGTTCAAGCCTTTGGATGCAATGTGGTATAAATGTGTCACTTGAAAATATATTCATGATCTGTTTTTGCAAACCTTTTGGTTTATACAATACTCTCTTTTTGTATTATGAACATGTGGGTAATGACATCTGCTCATATCATGTAAATTCCTCATAATCTCTTCACAGTGTAATACATAAACTAGTTACTAAGTAAATTTTATCTGCAAGTTGTTTCAAAATACAGACCACAATAACAAGTTTGCCTTCATACTTTGGGTTTCATTCATTACATAAGTGATAGCAAATTTTTACTAAGTTATATTTGTATTACCCTCCTTTGCTCCTCTTCAGCATCAGCAAAAAGTTTGCGAATGTTAGCCTCTGATTCACCCACATATTTGTTAAGAATTTCTGGCCCATTGACCACTTTGGGCTCTCTTGCATTCAACATCTTGCCAATCTGTCGAGCCAAGAGAGTTTTACCACAACCTGGGGGCCCATATAGCAGGATGCCTTTAACATGTTTACAACCTGAAAAGGAGAAAAAAAAAGTCTTACAACTAAAATCCAAGTAATATATCCAAAGGAAAGTTTTGTTTTTCATATGCACTTTAGGAAAAACACAGTGATACTATTTATATATGTTAAGATCCTTGTGCTATGAACAGAATAAACAAACATTCCTCTTTCCCTCTTACTCTCTCACATCTAGAAACAGTTCCTATACCAGTACTAATATTTGCATGGGGGAAAGTTGCAAGTTAAAAAAATCTCTGGATAAGAATGAACTATCACTTAGAACAATCTTTTTTTTTCGGTACTGGGGATCGCACTCAGGACCATGCGCTTGAGAGGCAGATGCAGTGCCACTGAATTAAACCCCCAGCCCAGAACAATCACTTTTAACTTTGAAAATATCTTTTTGGTTTAAATATCTAATTAGGAAATACTTATTCTTATCTTTTAAGGTCAGAGGGAAAATATCTGGCATAAAGGAAATTTAACCCTAAACAGACTTATGATAGTAAGGCTATGGAAACTATATCTCAGTCATAGAATGCCAGGTCTACCTATTAATACAAGCACTCGGAAAAGGGGAAAACACATATAAGTTGTGTGAATATAGAAGAATCCAGAGGATCCAGGTGAACATCACCTATTTTTGGATAAAGCTGAATGTCTTTCTTCATGTGATTAATGTAAAGTGAGGCACATGCTTCTTTAGAGCAACTCAGATGACAATGAAGTTTCAAAAGTAGTATTCAATTACTTTCTAGGCAAGCATTGCTGAATGCCTCACAGATACTGTTAACAGAGCCAGGCATAGTGTCACACACCTGAAATCCCAGTACTCAGGGAGGCTGAGGCAGGAGGATCTCAAGTTCAGGCCCAGCCTGGACAACTTAAGAGAGAGAGACCCTGTCTTAAAACAAAAAATAAAAAGAGCTGGGGATAAGCATCAGTGTGAAGCACCTGGGTTCAATCCCCAATATAAAAAACAAAACAAAACAAAATCCCCAAACCATATTATTAACAATCCGAAATAGCAAGAGTAATGATCTAGATTCCCCAGGGCTTCCCTAGTTAACTCTACATGAATGTTTACTCCATTTCTTAAGATGAAGACCCGTGGCTTCTCTTTACTTTTCTGGGAACTCTCACCTTTCTAGTAATTTCACAGTTAAGGTACATAGCTCCATTCAGATGTTTTTTTTCTTTATATTCTACCCAAAAAAGCACTTTATGTAGCGACAGGATTATTAGATTTCACTGTCATTAATATGGATAAAAAAATCTCTGGAAATGTGATGTACCTAATATGCTTCCATGGAAAATGATTTGTCCTTATTTGAAATGAAAACCTTAAAAAGTATACCTTTAAAAATACAACAATATATGTGATAAATCACTTAAAATGAATCACAAGATATAATCAACACTGTTAGAAACTAGATTCTGAGGAAGATCTTTTGGGTTCCCAATGTGGTCCTCACATCTTATGACAAGAAGGACTTCCTCTTATGTCTTTGAAAGCAACTAAGATCTGTGCATATAGCTCTGCTTATGAGAAGAAGGGAACTTAGTGTAAACACTTGAAAGCTCAGAGTTATAGGGCTTCTCATCATGGAATAAATCCCTGCCCCCAAGATCATTGCTCAATAAAATGTCTTCATCCTTTGATCCATCCCTCAAAGCTTATCCCTCAGAGCAGCGGGGATAAGCTCGAGCTTCTCTAGAGGCCAACTGCACTTAGCACTGCCGCCATCTAAGTCACTGGGACATACTGGATGAGGCATTAGAACTTGGCTCCCAATCTTCCCCTCCAAGCCAACGACAAACTATTCATTTCATATATATTAATTTCATATACATATACACATCCCATAATACAGTCAGGTGGTAGTGGCAGATCAGACACAGGGAAAGGATTCAGAAAGGAGAAAAGGAAGATGTGCTGAATACCTACAAAGCCTTATCCTCATCTCCGGTTTCTTGATTTTCTCCAAGTTTATTACTTTTCTCTTAACCATACTTTCTTTCATATTAAGCCATGTTTTCTTGGAAGAATTCTTAAATTCCTAGCCCTCTTATCTTCTGTTATACCCATTCCATGAACCCTTACCACAATATGGCTTTACTGCACCTACACATTGGCCACAGAGCACAGGCAGAGAAAATTACACCACTATTCTGACTGATATCCCATTTCATACTATCCAATTTCAATTCTACTCTCATTGCTTTCTCAAAACTGTATGCCACCCTTTACTTGTCTTTGTTAGCTCCTCTCTAATTTTCCTTATTAATTATCCAAATATTTACTACTCTCTCAAGAGTTACCCCATGCCACTGATTCTTAAAGATGACCTACATTCCTCATTCCTATTTTATATATTAAAAAAAAAAGATCACCAAGCATGAACCTCTTCTAGGGCTTTGCTGCTCTATCTACAAAGTGGTCAGGAGACACATCTGTACTTAATTTCAACCTTGGTTCTAATTACTTCTTTATATGCTATCTTCTTTATTAGATGATGCACTATTCAAGGGCATGTATGTACAGTCTTATTAATTCTGAATCACAAACACCCAGCCTAACGCCCAGCACATAATGTATTGCTCAATAAAGGGCTGAATGAGTAAACTGTTGATTCCTTCCCTGCAAAACTCAAAGATTATGAAAGAAAGAAGATTTTTTCAAAATTATTTGAGGCCCTTAATATATGGAAGAGTGTGTTTTTTAAATTGCGGAACTAATTCAGATACTTAAGAAAACACAAACATTTGTAATAACTGAGATTTTGCAAATTTAGTGAAACAGTATAATATACAAATACTGGAATCTTAACTCTGTTCTTGTACATAGCACACTTTGTTTAATGTGTTTTGTATTAAAATGACTCAGATCTTAATAAATAATTTATAAAACATTGCCACAAAGGTTAAAAGACACAAATTTAATGCATATATCTGAAATGAGTGACTACATTTAAAAATATAACATCAATAGGAATGTCTTAGAAGCTGTAGTCTGCACTGTTACTCTTAATTTCTTTAGGATCTCAACTAAGCACATAAAAAAAATATTGACATGTAAAGACTTTCAAAATTCACTTTCACAAAAGAATCAGTTACTTGAATAAGCATGGAAATGGGATTCTGCTGTTACCACTATTGTTATAGTCTATTCTGACTTATTAAATAAGCATTGGTCTCTAATTTTAAATGAGTCATAAAAACTAATTCCATTCAACAAAAGTGTATTATGCTCCTGTTTAGACTAGGTACTAAAGTAGGTGTTAGGTATACAAACATGAAAAAGTCTATACCTAGCTTAGTAGGAAAGAAATAAAAATAAGTTACTATAATATGGCATAACAGAGATATGTATGAAATCCTTTTAGAATCTATCCAAGAGAGACTAATTCTGACAGAGTGATGGCAGAAAATTAGGAATGGACAAGGGGAAGAGGTAACATTGAATCTGGAACTAGAAGGATGAATACGAGGTTTGTGGTTGGAGAGTGGAAAGAAATGGTACCACAAAGATAAAGACTATAATAGTCAAAGGCATAAAGGTATGGACATAGAAGCTGTTCTCTCAAAACAATTAGCAATAGCTAGTCTTGGAAGGGAGGAGAAAGTAGTGCCTAGAGATGAAGCTGGCAGGTTTCTAACTATGTATGAGTTTTTAATTTGTTTTGCAGGTGATGAGATATGTATATAAAAGCTAACTTTGCTGGTAGAGTGGAGAAAGGATTGGAGAATGAAGATGCTGAGGGTGGAACAGTAGCTGAAGGCAAGTTTTTAGCTTTTTTCTGGAAACACTGACTCATGAGATGATTTTAGAGTTCCGCCAGTTGAGCTTTTTTTTTTTTGTACTGGGGATTGAACTCAGGAGTTGAGCTTTTATATCATTCCAAGTCCTACAAGAACATAAAAGCAAATGGGTTCAGAGGCCTGGGGAGGATGCTCTTCCCCCTGCTGATGCCCTAGCTTTCTCTTGAGCTTCTCTAGAACATGAAGCCCTGACTGATTTTGAGGAATGGCTGGCTGATCTCTGGCTGCCTGACTACTGAGCTGTGCTGACTGCAACTCCTTTTTTTCCACTTTAGTTTAATCTTACAGGCCCACTCACTATTCAGGGATCACTAACCTGGATTAGTGAATTAAACAGCAAAGGAAAGATAGGGAAAAAAAATCAGTGGATTTGATTTAAACTGTCATAGTCTCTATTTCTCATTCTTTCCCACAGAATGGTCTAATGGACCTCCTCAGAAAAATGCATGTATATATAATTGGCATACAATTTTGAAGGGATTCTTAAAAACTCTTTGAGGGAAATCCATGGAAGCCAAACTTAAAACGCCTGAACATACTACTGAAATAACCAAAATAAGAGACTAACAATAACAAATGCTGGTGGGGTTGTGGGGAGAAAGGAACCCTTCTCCATTGCTGGTGGGAGTGCAGACTGGTGCAACCACTGTGGAAGTCAGTATGGAGATACCTCAAAGAACTAGGACTAGTGGTCCCATTTGACCCAGCTATTCCCCTGCTGGGTATCTTCCCAAAAGAATTAAAAGAATCATACCACAGTGATATATGTGCACCCATGTTCATAGCGGCACAGTTTGTAATAGCTAAAGCTTGGAAGCAGCCCAAGTGCCCATCAACAACTGGATAAAGAAGATGTGGTTTTTTAATAAAATGGAATACTACTCAGCCATAAAGAACGAAAAACTAGAGTCATTTATAGCTAAATGGATGCATATCAAGGCCATACTCTTAAGTGAAATAAATAGGACAAACGTGTAAATATCAAATAGTTTCACTAGTGTGAGAAACTGATAGTGTAAACGAGAGTTAAAATGATTAAAATGAATAACTGATAATTTGAAATTGGAAAAAAGGTCCAAAGACGGAACAGTGAAGGGAGGGGAAGGGGAAAGGAAAAGAGGGAAAGGAAAAACTATGAGAAAAGAAAAACAAATGGAAATGAAATCTATGTAAATAGGGAAGGGTGGAGG